GGGCGGGGAAGGAGGAACAGACCCCAGGTCCCGGCGTAGGCGCCGGCTCCGCCGCTGCAGCCGCTGCCACCTCACAGCCCCGCCCACTCCTTCCTCTTCCGCTCGCTGTCAGTCCCCGTCTCTATGGTGACCGCATCCGGCCGCTCTCTCCGCCGTGCCCACTCTATGGTCGCCCCGCCGCTTCCCTGCACCGCGTGCCCGCGGGGTCCGCCCGGCCAGCCACACACCGCCCCCCGAGAACAAGCGTGCATTCCGGAGACGCTAACCCACAGATCTTCAACCCCAACTCCCATCTGCCCTGGGGAAAAAAATACCTTCCCCCGCAATGATCACGCTTCGGCCTCCTAGACTCCTCCCGATGGGCTTCAGAAGCCCATCAGCCACTCAGCTATTTCAGAGCTGTTTGCTGTTTGCCTCCTAAGTTCCAGGCCATCGCAATAGTACCAAGTAAACCGGGGCTAGATGGGGTGGGGGTGGTCCCCGCCCTCGGGGAGCTGGGTGTTGGAAAAAGGCATTAAACTCACACTGACTGGCAAAATATAAACGTAGATAGAAATCCCAAACCATCGTAAGTGCTGTTGCAGAGACGTAGAGTCCAGTGGGAAAACACGACAGGAGGAATTAGACTGGGGATTTGGGGAAGTCTCAGCAAGTGACCCAAACAAAATGTGAGTTTTCCAGGTAAAAAGCAAAGCACAGAAGGCCCAGGAAGAGGAAAGAGATTGGCTTAGAGAAGAAACCGGGAAGGCCAGGGCAGCTAAGGCCTGGGGAGCAAGGGAAAAACAGCCCCCAGGGGAGGCTGGGGGGCCACAGGGCTTCTGACAACCACAGGGGGTTCCCAACCAGGATGACACATCCCTCGCCCTTAATTTGGAAGTGTATGGGGGCAATTTTGTTGCCAAATGTTTGAGGGGAGGAGCCACGAATGTTAGATGTCCTGCACATTGTAACATAGTATCACACAAGAAAGAATTGTCTGGCCTGTCCAATTAAAAAAAAAAGTCATAATCATTGATCCTTGAGCCCGTGTTTTATATATAAAGATGAAGTAACTTTGCAGGGTGGTAATATGTGCTGGGTTTTCAAGGAATTTAATTATGTAAATAGAAGAAAGATTATTTTGTTCAGGAATTTATTGAGTTACCATCAGGGATAGCAATGTCACTGACAGTGTTCTGTCTGTGTTTGTACTGTTATTTTCAAGGTGATCCTACGTATAGGTATAAACATCTAATTATGTTTTCTAGCATACCGAAATAATATAATTTTATTAGAAAGGATTTTCTCTTCTTCTGTTAGGGTTAATTTAAGACACTAATTTTTTGAAATTTATGTGTGTAGTTAGATTATATCATCTATGAACTTTGTCTCAAAAATAGTAAATGTATGTCATAAAAAATGTTTGCTATTAAAAGGGGACACCGGAGCTCGTAGAGTTAAGAACCATCATTCTAGGGAGTATATAAGACAGAATTCACCAGCACCATTATCCTTTGCTATGTTTTGGTCTTATCCTCAGTTAGACCACAACTTGATCTCCCCTCAGCCACTGGCACATAAAAGGTGGTAAATGACTTGTTAGAAGAGAATCTGGGAAGCAGAGTGGGGACACTCTGGGAAGATAATAGGTTCTAGATCAGCATTGTCTGATAGAAATATAATGTGAGCCACAAATGTGAGCCATATATATAATTTTAAATTTTCTGGTATAGATTTTATTATAGTATTAAATATATCCAAAATATTATATCAGTGTACAATCAATATTGAAAAATTGAAGTACTTTACAGCCCCCCCATGCAATCTTTGAAATTGTATGCATATTTGACACAGCTTATCTCAGTTTGGACTAGTCACATTTCAAGTGCTCCATGGCCACATGCAGCTAGAGGCCACCACATTGAACAGCACAGTTCCAGACCCTTCTTACTTACTAAGTGTTTAGGTAATTTGGGTCTCAGTTTCTTCATATTTAAATGAAGAGTCCAGACCAAACGTTCTTGCTTCCAGCACTTACCTTCTGTGATTTTTTATATTACCCAGTCCTTTGCTACTCTACCCACGTCTTCTCTCTCTTCCCACTTCCCATTTTTTCTCCCCTCATCCTCAGATCTGTTCCCTGCAAGATATCTAACCCTTGGGTAGGAATGGCATAACTTCTAAGCAGTATACAAGTTTTCTAAGCCACTCTTGCTGTGCTGAGGGAAGACTGCGCAGCAACTGTTGCTTCACGGGGAATCCTGGACATGCTTGGTTGCTATGTAGGTGGTTTCAGAGAATTAACTGATTATAAGTCTTTCTCTTGGTATCCTGAGCCATTTTACGGAGATGGAGTTCCAGAAGCAGAAAATTCCAGCCTCAAATCCTGCCACTGTCTCCTACCAGCAGTGTTGTTGCATTAACAGCTCCGTGCCTTTATTTCCAATCTGTAAAATGGTAATAATACCCACCTCAGGATCTGTTGGGGAGATTAAATGGAACTGCAAAAACCAAAGTGCATAATAAATGTTAGTTCTCTGTAACCTGCCTGTAACCACTCATTTTAATGAGGCTGGGAGAGGGAGGCATACTGTAGACAGGTGCTTGGAAGAGTGATTTTATGTGACCCGTATCATATGTAACTTCTTTGCTTTATAAAGAAAGGCTTTGCAGTCAACTATTGTCTATATTCTGTACCTAAAACAATGCCCAGAGTAGATGCTTACTATTTGTTAAATGTATAAATTAAATAAATATTTAGTGCAGACTTAGGCAAGGATTCTACTAGTAGCAAAAAAGGGCAAGAAAAGTAGTCTAGCAGAACTCTGGCTAAGTAATAATTAGCCAATTAACAAGAATTAAACTCTAATCCTTCTAACAACCATAGGAGGTTAAGTACTATAATCATTCCCATTTTATAGAGGAGAGAATGTATTTTGCCCAAGGTCAAGCACTGTAAATGGTAGCACTGGGGTTTGAATTCGGGCAATTTGCTCCCAGAATTCATGCTCCTGGTTATGCTATGTCGAGTGAGTTCCCCACCCAGGAACTCCAGCAGCACGCACAAGTCACTCCTTTTAAGGCACCACCTAAATGCCATGCATGGCCTGTTTATTTTTCTAACGCTCCTTCTTAATTGTGAGCTCCCTGAGGTTAGGGAATGACTTGTTACCACTGCAACTCCAGCATCTCGCTCTGGGCCTAATGTATAGTGGGGGCTTCATTGGTGGAGGGTACTCTAGAAAAAGCTACTTCCAAAGGCATGAAGGTGTGAAATAGATGGATTATCTGAAATACGAGTAGTTAGATTCTACTCGAGCAGCAAATTTCAGGAAGAAAACGAATCCTATGTGGGTGGAGGAGTGAGTTCATTTTTTCTAAGCTTCAGGAGGAGTAACAGCTTCCTTTTGCTTCCCTCCAGCTGTGGGAGGCGCTGCTGGTCAGGAGCAAGTTCACCGGGGTCTCAAAAATACTGCCTTGCACTTGAGGATACAGATTTGGGATTTACAGCCTAAGCGATGAGAAACCTGTAAGAGATTTTAAATCGTGAGGCGCAAAGGAAAAGTCACTTGCAAGGGCACATGGCTAACTGATAATCAGGGTACACTCAGAAAAGGGGTCTTGTTTTACTTCAGGACTCTTCCCACCAAACTTTACATGGTTTCGATGGAAACCTAACAATTCTGGAGCGGATAAGCGGCCAAGGATCAGGAACAACAATCAGCACCTTCTTCAAGTTTGGTTACAACTGGAGTAGCTTCCTAAATCTAGGTTTCAAGAAGCGAGGACGCCTTTCTTTCGGGCGAGACTTCTTTCAGGTCCTCGCTCTCCCTCCACCTCCCTCCCCTTCCCTCCACTTCCCGGCCCATTCTTTCGACCCATCCCCGCCTGATGCGATCTGGGAAGTGTAGTCGCTCGCCCCGCCGTCCACACCGGTTAGCTCCACGGGTTCTCGAGCGGCGGGGGTACAGCCTGCAGGACCCAGCCCGCTAACCCGAGTGGCAACCTGGGACTTGCAGTTCCCACGGCGCGCCGCGCTTCTGCGACCAAGGGGCTCCGGGACTCTCAAGCCCGCGACCTGGCGCGTTGTAATGACGTCAGGGTCCCGCGAGGCCTCTGGGATACGCGGTAGTTCTCGAGGAGCGTTCTCCGCCTCGGCAACTGCGCCTCGAGGACTACGTTTCCCAGGAGTCTGAGCGGAAGCGCGCCGAGAGCCGCGCGGGCCCGTGATTGGCTGG